CACATCTGTAATCTTCACCAGGTTAGCCCCATGAGCACCTGTTTTGCTGATTAGACATATAGTGAACCCCAACTCTTGTAACATCGTATTTGCTTGCATACGACACCTAACAAATTTACGACTCGTGTGCATAACAAAACCAAGCAGTAACAACTACTAGGCTCTGAGTAGCTTTTTTGTGCTCCTGCTGATGTTTCTGGATAGTTTTTTCATTGATGCTACTTGCTACCACAGTCCCTCAAAGAACTGATAGTGAGGGAAGCACCCTCTCTAGAAATGCCCGCGAACCAAATAAGCAGTGAATTTCCATCTATCCTGCTCCATGATTGGCTGTTTATTTTGTGAGTATAAGAAGAAACAGAAACTTGTGAGAGGCCCTTTTTAAATTGGCCTTAAATATAAATACAATCCTAGGTTTTGGGAGTATGAAAGAGGGGAAATATTTGGAGTAGAATCTTATCTACAAGGGCTGGTAATGAATGGAATCAGAAAAAGAATGTAGAGTACCCAAGTTGGAAGACTACAAACGGCAATTCAGTTTCCTCTCAGAAGTGGGCCTTGCGTTGTGTCACTGGGAACAATGGAAATAGAAGCCACAAGTCATAGTTTATTTTGAGAATGTTGTAAAACATTTGTCCCCTATTAGATGATTGTGTCACACAGCATTGGGGACGTCCTGGAACTTCAGTTGTGCTCTGACCCCTCCCTCTACCGTTGTATACCATCAGCCCTCATGGAACTCAGTCCTTCCTGGCTGTTGCCATATATATATGTTCTTATTCCAATCTGATCCTCTCTCATCCCTAAAATAATCAGCATGAACAGAATGAAGCAGATGGCACAAGCCTTCTTTGGCATACTGGCAGATCTGTATCACTCACTCAGTATTTTTAGAATCAAGGGGATTGAAAATTATGTCCTGAGATGTTTTGGGGGAAGACTTACTATCTTCCTAGGGTGACAGGTGTTGAAATGTTACTGTATTTAAGACTCGAATGCAATCTGCATGTCAAGTCACAAAACGGACTGATTATCATCAGGACCATCCCTTTGTCAGTTCTGCTAGGATTGTTGGTGGTTTGCCAGATAATAGAAAGTTAATCACAAGTCTGTTTTAAGGATGTGGCCAGAAAGCGCATCAGGTTTCCACCAAAGATTGGACTCAGCAGCAGCCAGCCAGCTCTGGTCAAGTACGTGTGATGGGAGATGTTGTATTAGCCTCACGGTTTATTTTTTAAAAATAGCTGAGCTTTGATCCTTGGCCACAGTGACTTTATAGTCTGTTGGGAGAGACTATTTTTATAGAAGTTTGTGATTATATCATGAAAACTGTGCAAATATTTATATTTGAAGGTCCATATGAATGAAATATTATAACCACTTGTAAATTGGAATGCATCATTAGAAAAGACTTCCTGAAGAAATTAAAGAATGCTTAAAGTGTCATATAATTATTTCAGTTCAATACGTATTTGAGGACCAACTTTGCACTTAGCGTTGGGTTAGGTGTATTTAACACAGATGCAAAACTCAAAAAGATACAGTCTTGGGGAAAGACAATTTTATGAAATAAGTATAAAAAATGTTTAAGCGACTTTACTTTCTTTTGTTGTTCTTTGGGAGAGAGTTTGATGTGGAACAAAGAGTTAGAGGAAATGTGCCTCACAATTAAATCAAGTGTGGCCACGTCTGAGACTCCTTGGTTATATGCCAGCCGTCTTTGAAGGCCTAAGAGCAGTGTAGATGATAACGTCCTGGAGCTGGACTTCCGAATCAAAGGAAGTGGCCGGAGATTAGCTCTGGGAAAACTTTATTAATGCTAAAGGGCAGGTACCTTTTCTTTTGAATTGAATAAATCTTAGTTTTCCTTTGTATTCCTGATGTGTTGGTAAGCAGTCAGTCACGGTTGATGTCTGTTGAGAAACAAAGGATGCAGGCTCATTTTTACTTGTACCCTCGTAGGTCCTTTCTGCATGTGTAAGCACGTGGATTAGCCAAAGTACCAATTCCTTCCAGTGAGAAAAATGGTGAATTATATGTAGGGAGAAAACGTGTCTTTTTTCCGTTATATCCATAGCTGAGTGGTTAGAATGCTGTGCCAGCTGATGGTTTCTACTTTCCATCCCCGTGTTTCATAAATACCATATATTTATTTGTATGGTGTGTTTTTAGATTACAACGTGCTTTCAGATCCATCTTGTGTCACTTGGTTGTCCCCAACCGCTCATGCATCAGGTAGATATCACAAGTGAGGACGCTGAAACTCAGGACTTAGCTAACAAGTGGGGAAGGTGGAGTGTGAACTGGGGTGTCTTTCCACTGTATTCATAGAACAAGTGACTGGATCTACATCAGTTCCGCCCACACTGCAGAGAAACACCTGAGGGGGAGTCAGCAGCATGCTGTTTCTGAAGGAAAGCACAGCCTTGCCTCCGTCTCTTCTGACTGTGAAGCTAAGAGCCTGCCTGTGCTGTCCAGTACAGCAGCCATTAGCCACATGTGGCTTCTTAAATTAAGTAAAAATCTCGGTTTCTCAGCATCACATTTTGAGTATTTAATAGCCGTCATATACCAGGGGGTGCCAAAAAATGTACACATTTTAAGAGATGTTATGTACGTATTACTTTTTGAAGTTGAATTGAATTGCCGAGCAATGTGTACAATGACGTTCGCTCAAAAGATGGCGTTAATCAAATGAATGCTAGCATCATTCGTTGTATTACAATTTTAATACAGGTTTTTTCCTTTCTTAAAATGTGTATACTTTTTTTTGGCACCCTCTGTGTGTGACATTTCCATCATCAAAGAAAGTTCCATTGGACACGCTAGTTATCTTTCCTGAAGTAAGAGTTGGGGAGAATGAACTCACTGAGAGCAGTTGAAAAAAAGAGCATATGCCAGGGACTGGTGTAGGTGAGAGAAATATGTCGTCCTCACCCCCAAACCAGCTCCTGCTGAGTGACTAGTGCTACTTTGAGTTTGCCTGTGAAGAGAACAAGAAGATGAATTTCCAACTTCACATTGTGTGTATATTTTAATCTTTTCTGGCAGACCAGAGAAGAACACACAGCCGTTTCAAATGAATGAGTGTATTTAAAGACGATGATAAGTTCTGTGCCTTTCATAGTGGGGCCAGTATTAGCCAGACTTAGGCTGGACAGGAAGCAGGGCACATCAGGAGACCTGGCAGCAAAAACTCGGCCACACAGGCCAGAATTCCTGGAAGGAACTGCTTCGTTTGTGGCCAGGGTTGTTGGGAATGCCTCAGCGCAGGGCCTCGGGCAGGAACAGGGAGCCGGGGAGAGGGATTTGGGCAGAGCCAGGACAGGGGTTCAGTTTAAGTTCACCACAGAGAGTCACAGAGGAACAAGGTATGTGCAAGCTACCACCAGAAAGAAGGTGTGGTGCCAAGATATTGGCTTTGCAAGCCCGTGTCCCTGGCTTAGGATCAGTGCCGAAGCTTTAGGTCAGAGTGTGCACGACAGCTCTGAAGGGTCCAAGCAGGTGGGGCAGGACGCTGAGGGGTGTCTGCCGGGGGCCGGCTCCTTGTGAACTCTGACCAGACACTGGAAACATCTGAGCTAGTTGATGAGGAACTCAAAAAGTTTGCTGCAATTTTGCCCGTTAGGAAAGGAATGTATGTGTGCCTGTATACATGTGCTAATACTGATATTTAAAGATGCTTGAACTGTTATAATAAAATTTCATCTAGCTAGATTCCAGCTTTCCGATCTGAAAGTAACCGACAAGGTAAGTAAAATTGAACTTTTCACAATAAAGAGCAACTCTAAAGACTTGGAAGTAAGTGAATAACTGCAGAGAACAGATTTCCTTGCAGACCTACTTGCTGTGATTGGTCAGTTTACCATGAGTGCACTGCTTACTTGACAAAATACAGAGAAGGCTGGCCTGTGTACAAAAGCTACTCCAATGTGTTTAACGTAAGCATACAGTGCTCTGGTTGGCACTTGAAAGGTTCTCATCCACCGCCTGAGAATTACTCCCTCTGGAGCAGCACAGGTTGCCAGGGCTTTTCTCGATTGTTCGTGACACTGCCTCAGACTCTTAAGGCTCCTCAAATGGGGGTCCACAGGTAGAAAAATAAGAACCTGGTGTTTGACGACTTTGCTGGGTTGGAAGGGTGGTAATAACGTGGGTTTGAGACAGTTGAGGTTGAAGAGACAGCAGACCCACCTCCTAGAAGTAGCCCACCAACAGATGGCTGGATTGGCCCTCCAGGGTGGGGGCTGGGAAATGAAGAACCGTCCCCATAAACAAAAGGGGAAGAGCTTAGTACAACAGTTTCCTAGAGGACCGTGCCTACACATATAAATGAGGGCTGAGCCTCCCCGCCCCCGTCAGTTTTGTTTTCAGGGGAGTATTTTGTCTCCCCTCCAAAGGCACATCGGTGAACTAAACTAGCTTTGTTCACATTTTGTTTACATCAGAGAGTTGAGTTCTTCTACAGGGTAACCTTACAGGCAAATTAACTTAGATGTATACAAATTATTTCATCTCATCCCCTGGAAGTTTAAACAGGTGTGATAAACAATGTATGTTATGCTAACAGTGAGTGAAGAGGAAGAGGCCATGGTTTGAATAAGCAGGCTGGGTTTTGTTTCTGTACCAGTAACACGAACACACTGAGGAGCTGTGTTTTGCTTTGTTTTTCTCCCAGTTGGTCACTGAGCCTCACTGGCCTGAGATTGTGATTTGAAGTAGATAATAGCGAGTCTATGGAAATAGCTGTCTCATCAAGGAAAGTGTGCTTCATCCACCATCCAAACACTGTGCTGGCCTCCTCGCCGCTCAGGAGAAGCACCCGCAGGTGGACTTACATGCCGAAGCATCTCTTAGAGCACACAGGGAGGATAGAGAAATGCGCTGCATTAGGCCATTTACAGGAACATGCTGCCCGGGGAGCTGACTGAACTGGTGGGGGAGAAAAGCATTGTTTTCAAATGGCTAATGCAAGACATCGGTTTCTCTTCTCTCCACAGACAGTCTGGTGATCCAGGACATGCCCCAGCTCTAGTGATGCAGGTTCCCTTTCTGCTCCTGGAATCGCATCTGTGCCTCAGACTCTCCTCCCAGCCTGAGACTGCACAGTAACTAGGATGTGGGACAGCAGGAAGCAGAGCTAGTGGGTCCTAAGAGGCCCATGTCTGGGGAGAGCAGGCCCAGGACCGCAGCGCTGCCTGTCCCCTGGCCTGGCGTTCGTCTGTGGTGGCTCTGCTGATGTGCTCAGCACCATCCTTCCATTTGTGCTTAAATGGCACAGCATTTGGTCAGCGCATCTGAAAAGGAAGGTGTGAGAAGCAAAGCCCATGGCCACCTACCCCTGCCAATTATGCGGCAAAACGTTCCTCACCCTGGAGAAGTTCACTATCCACAATTATTCCCACTCCAGGGAGCGACCTTACAAGTGCTTGCAGCCAGACTGTGGCAAAGCCTTCATTTCCAGATATAAATTAATGAGGTGAGAGGCTTTAGAGAAGGTATGTACTTTTACATATGCCTTTCAATGGCTTTGCAAGTCCTCAGACCAAACCCTGCAGGGAAAAGGGACACAGCATGTGGCTGCATTTTAGCCTTTAAAGCTCCATCTCCAGTGATGACTAGTTTTATATGACAGTTTTGCTGTGCAGCGTCCGTTCATTCTTTCATCAGATATTTCTTGTGTTCCTACAATATGTCAGGCCTAAGAACAGAAAGATGAAAAGACCCGTGGCTGGGGTGATAGTCATGCAGACACAATTAAAATGCAGTCTGAGTGCTTTGCCAGAGCTGTGCAGGCGGAGGAAGTTGGTCTCCACTGCTCGATGAGATCTGGGAAGGCTTCTCAGAAAGGCAGAGCCTTAGGCAGTGCGTGAAAAAGGACAGGAAATGGGCAGCTGGGAGGCTCTGGGACGGTCCTAAGCCTGGGCCTCAGAGACGTGTACAGAGGGTAGTGTTGGAGCAGGAACGGGCTGAGGCTCAAAATGGAGGCAGGAAGGAAGCAGCTCCCAGCAGGGCTGCCCGCTGTGGGGGTGGTGTCTTATATTCTAATGAGTCGAAGTAGTGAGGACCGCGATTTCATCAGGACATTGGAAAGGTGACTCTGGTAATAATTGGAGAAAAGAGACCAGGCAGGTAGACCAATTTGAAATCTGTTGTAATAGTGCAGGTGTGAAATACGGAGGGCTCGACCAGGTCCTGACAGTGAGGGGGAGGAGGGAACACCCCTACGTGTGGGCTTTTGGAGCAGTTTCTCAACTTAGGCCTAAAAGCCACCTGAACAAGGGGAATTCTGTTGGGTGTACAGGTGTTGAGTATGTGCACGTCATCAGATTTTCAGAGGCATCCACGATACAAGAAAGGATAAAAACCAGTTTTCACAGATGAGTCTTTTAAAAAACCCCTGCGTTTAGTCTACATTATTTCTCGAGTGCCTGTGAGGTACTTCCATGGGTGAAATGTAATGTAGCTTCTGCCTCCAAATGGTTTTTATATCATAGAAAAGATAAAATACGAAATAGATTCAAGTCGCGCTTAGTGTGGTTGACAGCGAATGAGTGCCGTGTGAGCCGTGTCTGTGGTCCCCTAGAGCCACACACGCAGAACTCCCACTCATGTGCTGCTTTTGCTGCCTGCGTAAGGGAAATGTGTCATTTGCCTCTAATTTTCATGAAATGAACTTTAAAGCTTCAAAGAACTTTCAGACTACTCATAAAAATACATAGGTGATCATCAGAATTTAGCAAGACAGGATTCCCACATGAGTGGTTTAACATGGACATATTTTTATTAAAGCTTGGAGTGCCCCTGGAGCAAGGCACTTGAAAGAGTTAAAAAAAAGAAAGGTATCAATTATGCTCCTGGTCCTTGGGAATACCAGGTATACACCTCCTGTAATATAATAAGCTGACTTTTAAAATCAGCCCATGGATGCTTAGGTGTTTTAAAATTCCAGTGTGTTCTGTACCCAGGCCCATCTCTAGTCGCCATAATGTAAGTATTGAGTGCCTACTGTGTGCACTAGTTCAGTTGCAAAGGCTTCCTGTTGTGCAATAAGCTTCTTACTGTGTATGCACAGTAAGGATCCTTGCTGGAACACTGAAAGCGGTGTTCACTGCAGTTCAGCTACAATGAGGACATCCTAGCTGTGGATAAAGACCAAACCACATAGCAGATAAAGACCAGGAAGGACAGGGGAGCTAACAGAGAATCAGCCTGGCAGAACCAGGTGGGATTGCTGTGGTCAGCGCGCTGAAGAAGGCGTCTGGAGCGGTATTTCGGAGGTTGTGGCTCTGAACTTGTTCAGTTACGAGTGTGAAGTGAGGCAACAAGGGAAGCAGGGTGCTTTGTGCAAGAGCCGCCTGCCCTGCCACAGCCACAGCCAGCACCATTTCTTGCCTCTGGCGTGAAGCGGTGATCTAGTAAGGGACTAGGAGAGCGGTGAGGTGGCAGGAAGCTTCAGGGTTTGCCTTTTTTTTTTAAAAAAAGGAGGGGGTAGCACTCCATGCCGTTTCCCTCAGTTGCAACATACGCCCCATTTTATAAGCAGAGGCGGAGGGAGAAAATGACTGACTTTCTTAACCAGAAAAGACAACAGGGGTCCCAGGACAGCAAACAAGGAGAGCAGTTAGATGGAGACAGCGAAGGGCGAGGAGATGATCTGGCGTCAGGCTGAAGCCCCCGTTAGAGGTCCTAATGTGAGCAGGTCCCCTTGAAGAAGTAACGCCATGTAGGTGGCACCCACAGGCGGTGGTATTTGGTGCGGACCGTAGGACAGACTGAAACCGGTGGTTTCATGGGTGAGGTAAGAGAGGTTGAGGGAAGGAAACAATATGTTGAAGTCATTTCAGCTATAAGTTGATTATGTCTTAAATTGGGACTATTGCATGAATAAGTAAGGGATAAATTAAAAGGGGAAGATGGGATGGCAGGCAAAGGAAAGAATCAAAAATTTCAGAGGGATGGGTGCTGGCGAAATGTGAAAAGTGTTATTACTGCTCAGGTGCTAGTGATGTCACCCTGTGCCCTTCTCATAGTGGGACAGGACAGGACAGGAAAGGGTGGGAAATCCCAGGTCCAGAGCTGTTAACTGGGCATTCATCTACTCCTGGGTGGTAAATGAAATCGAAACAGATACAAATCCGCTACAAAGAAAAGCGGAGAGAGGCAACACTAGAAGACCCAGGACAGAGCTGTGGGGTCCTGTTTACTAGTATAGGACCAAATAGGAAATTGTTTAAATGCCAGGCTTGTAAACCAGCCCCCTCTCACATCTATCCTGATGCTATATCTATAGATATCTTGTGTAAGAACACGGTTATTTGCCCTCTAACAGATTAAAAAAAACACCTTCCTGCTACCTTCGATTATGTTTTAATACATAAGGAACGTGCAGACACCGGCATCATTTCAGATCTTGCCAGTCCCTACTCCTGGCTCCTGCTCCCCAGCACTGTTTATACCTGTCTTCAGAACCGACCACCATATCTGAATCCCTCTGCATGCTGAGCTCTGGTGTCCTCCAGGGAAGGGGTGGAACTTACTCTCCTTTCTATCCCCACCCGCCCGCAACAGGGAGAGAGGAAGGAGATGTCAGGTTTTGGCTTTTTTTTGTTGTTTAAGAAAATGACAAATTAGCCTCAGATCAGCTTTATGTTTTTGAACTGGTGTCCGTTCTTCATCCTAGCAGGGACCACCACTGTTTCTAAACAGCTGTTGCCATAGATCCCTTACCAACTCTACTTCTACAATAGAAAAAGACCAGGAATGGAGAATGGACAATATAGGGTAGAAGGGCGGGTGCAAGGTATTATTAGTATACTTTGACTTATACTGTCTTTAAAGAAATTCCATCTTTTTCATAGAATGAGTTGTTTGAAATTCTTTCGTATCCAAAGTCAACAAGCTCAACTGCATTGAAATTGTCAGTAGGACAAGTTTTAGCTCCTAAAGACAAAACACCTAAAAGAGTTAACTGTCAAAAGGGACATGAAGCAACCTGTGTTGTCCCTGGAAGCCACACGTTATAATTAAGGATGCTATTTTGTAAGAAATACTAACACATAGGACTTGGCGTTTTATATGAAACATTTGGTTATTAAAATCAACCTTTTTCAAGTTTTATGGATGACAAACTCAGGGTTCCCTTATAGCATTGAGTTTTTAAAAACCAACAGAGTTTAGATTTTAGGAATTAAGTGAAACTGTGGTAGAAACGGATTTGTGATAGTTTTCCAAAACTAATTTGGGCTTTACAAATACAAATATAAAATACCTATTTTGAAATTCCAGGTTAACTAGGGTGGCAATGGCTTGTCCCTGAAGCTCAGTTAAAGAAAAACTTACAACTGCTGTTAGGAGTAGTAGCTTAGTCCTACGAAAAGTCGTTCGGAATTTTGCCAGTGAAATTACCAGTGACCTTCAGGAAGCGGGTTAAAGAGATCTAAGAGGGCTCTTGAAGAAATGGAGACAGCGGCTGCGCGCATCTGAGGTGATAGCTGATAGGACAGTGGTAAATGGAAGAAACCAAGATGCAGGCATAAAGGTCTCATGGGAGGCACGAGGTGGTGGGCTTGGCATTCCGGGTCCAATTAGACGCACGCTCTGAGGTTAAGGACAGGCTTATTAGTTATGTCTGTGGCCTGAACTTTTTGTCTCACTCAAGACCAAGCCGGGATTGTATTAGGAACAATAACCTAAAAGGGGGCGGGTATGGGGTTCCACGTAGAAGGCAAAGTGAGTCACTTTGGGAAACTGAGTAATTTTCAGAGTATAGAATACCCATTTAACCCCTTCCTGAAAAGTCTTTTTCATGATCATATATATTTTTAAATAACTTGTATACATTTAGAAATCTCTTTAGGAAAATATGTTAGGAGATAACATTAGGAAAATACGTTCTCAAAGCATATTCTTTACAGGTGTGAAAATTACATTGTCTTTAGTTGTGCCTGTTTTTTTATTATGAAGTTTTATGTATTTGTAGAATCTGGAAAATAGAGAAAAGTATTTTAAAACTGAAAACGATTTCTTATGCCACCGCCTAGAGAAAACTATTCACATTTTAATTGTTTCTATACCTTTCCTCTGCTCTTAAAAAAACTGAGGCTATTGTGAAATTTCCCTTCTGCCCCTAGGCACATGGCTACCCACTCACCCCAGAAGTCTCACCAGTGTGCTCACTGTGAGAAGACATTCAACCGGAAAGACCACCTGAAAAACCACCTCCAAACTCATGACCCCAACAAAATGGCCTTTGGGTGTGAGGAGTGTGGGAAGAAGTACAACACCATGCTGGGCTACAAGAGGCACCTGGCCCTCCACGCGGCCAGCAGCGGCGACCTCACCTGTGGGGTCTGTGCCCTGGAGCTAGGGAGCACAGAGGTGCTGCTGGACCACCTCAAAGCCCACGCTGAAGAAAAGCCCCCTAGTGGAACCAAGGAAAAGAAGCACCAGTGCGACCACTGTGAAAGATGCTTCTACACCCGGAAAGACGTGCGGCGCCACCTGGTGGTCCACACAGGCTGCAAGGACTTCCTGTGTCAGTTTTGTGCCCAGAGATTTGGGCGCAAAGACCACCTCACGCGACATACCAAGAAGACACACTCACAGGAGCTGATGAAAGAGAGCTTGCAGGCTGGAGACCTCCTGAACACCTTCCACTCCATCTCTCCCCAGTTTCAACTGAAGGCTGCCACACTGTCTCCTTTCCCTCTGGGAGCTCCTGCACAGAATGGGCTTGCGAGTAGCTTGCCAGCTGAGGTACACGGCCACACCCACAATCCCTCAGAGCAAACCTGCCAGCCTGTACAGCCGCTGCCAGAGCCCCTGATCCCCCTCCCCCCGGTAGCACCCCCCAGCTCTCCCCCTCCGCCCCTCCAGAATCACAAGTACAACACCAGCTCTACCTCATACTCCCCACTTGCAAGCCTGCCCCTCAAAGCAGATACTAAAGGATTTTGCAATATTAATTTGCTTGAGGACTTGCCTCTGCAAGAGCCTCAGTCACCTCACAAGCTCACCCCAGGTTTTGATCTGGCCAAGGGAAGTGCTGGTAAAGTAAACTTGCCCAAGGAGCTACCTGCAGATGCTGTGAACCTAACAATACCTGCCTCTTTGGACATTTCCCCTCTGTTGGGTTTCTGGCAGCTGCCCCCTCCTGCTACCCAAAATGCCTTTGGGAATAGCACCCTCACCCTGGGGCCAGGGGACTCTCTGCCCCACAGGCTAAGCTGTCTGGGGCAGCAGCAGCAAGACCCCACACTAGCCATGAGCACTATGAGCCTGGGCCAGCTCCCCCTCCCCCCCATCCCCCATGTTTTCCCGGCTGGCACTGGCTCTGCCATCCTGCCTCATTTCCATCATGCATTCAGATGACTGGTTTTTACAGTGTACGTTTCTTATTCTGGAAGATGTTTTAAGAAGCATTTTAACCGTCAGTTATAACACAAGGAAAGATTTGGAAAGCAGAACTTGGAATATGGCTTATTCAGTGATGACTGGCTTGAGATAAGAAAGTTCTCGAACTGCATGTATCGTGCCAACCTGTCCTGAGTGTTCATGCTTTGTACCAAATTTAATAAGCAAGTATTCTTTAATGGAACTGCAACTATTGTCATAACCGACATCCAAACGAGGGCTGCTATATATAGGTGTTTGTCAAATTGAGTTTAATCGTAAGCCATGATCATAATAATGTTAACTAAATAACTTTATGTGGCACTGCCTAGTAAGGGAACTTTGGAAAGGTTTGGATTTCTCCAAAATGGGAGAATTTTTTCAATAAGAAAATAACCTTTATATTGCATATTATAACTAGGCTGTGTATTTCTTTTCAGGGATTTTTCTACCTTCAGGGTTGGATGTAGTTTAGTTACTATTGCCATAGCCAACCTATAGTTTTACAGAAACAATTTCTTGTGGAATAATAGACGTCTCCATTTTAAACAAGCATTTTAAATGTAGTTTGAATATGTTCCACAAGATGCTACAATGTGAGTTATCACTTCATGTATCTTAAAGACTAAACTGGTTGTCAGTTACATCTGACAGAAAAAAAAAATCACTGTGTAACCAGGTTAAGTGGTAAAATAATCCAGGCGTCAGTCAAAAAAAAGCATTTTGCTGACTTTAATATTGATTATATTTTTAACAGGAATTTAAGAAAATATTACTGGAATTTTAAATATATATATATATATATATTAAACAAGAATTTTCTTTGCTCTGTCTGGCTTAAAATACTACTCTGCTTAAGTATTTTTAATCACCAATAAATAAATGCATTTTAAATTCATCATTTAAGTCAATATTAGTTTTACTCAAAAAGTATAACATTTTGCAATGTAACTATAATCTACTCTTGAATTTGGTATCTAATGAGTTTTAAAAATATGAAACCTAACCTTTTTTTAAAGCTCCTTTGTCTTTTGTGTTTAGAGGCTTTCTATATGAAAATATATCTTACATATAATAAACTCCACAAATCCTGAATATGGCTTGATGGATTTTTTACGTAGAGCTGCAGCGCGTCACCGTCCAGATGGAGACACAAAACATTCCAGCTCCCTCATGCCCCCTCCTGGCCACTACTTCCCCCGCAGACACTACTATTCTGACCTCTATTCAGCATCTACTAGAAACCAGTTTTTTTGAGTAAAATTAGGATTTAATGTAGAAGCTTATATGCTTCAGTTAAATTCACAGCACTAAGACCTTTTTTCTAAAAATTATAGCATTCTGAATCCTTCTATATTATGTAATTTCTTTCTGATGTATAGGTCAGAATACTAGCCACTGAAGTTTAGTCTACCCTGGGCCCGTGTTACAATAGTGTTCACCATTGATTTCTAGTATAAATTAGAAATTTTCTTTCCTTATTGGGATTTCTTCAGAAAGTATTTTGCCCCCCTGAATCTGACAAGTCTATTTTTGTTTGTTTTACCTCTAAATAGGGTGGGGGTAGGTAGAGAGAGGGAAGTCTTGTGTTCACATGCCCATCAAAGAAGCCTATTAGCCAAATGTGAGAAACCATGGCTCACGGCCCTTACCAGTGATGCTGATGGTAACAAAGGGCCGGAGGCATTCCAGACAAGCTGCCTGGAGCCGGGCTGTCCCTAGTGGGACTGACACAGTAGAGTCTTAACCTACAGTGTGACCTGGGGATAGGAGATAAGACAAAGGGACATGGGTTACCTTGTCAGTAGAAATCCACTGCTCTGCGATGTCTAAAATCAGTTCCCGAACCCCCTCTTACCTTTTCCAGGGAAGACAGTCTCCCAGGACCAGAGGAGAGCGTAGTGGCTCCTTCCACCCCAGCTATACAGCCTCCCAAGGCTCATTGACGGAAGCTTCCCCAAACACTTACATGGCCTGGTAGTCTTCAGTCAGTTCCAGGACACATACTTGATTTACGTGAGCATGAAACAGCACCCGATCCCCAAAATGCAGATCAGAAGCATTTCAGATGTGTTTGCTGTGCTACAAGTGGGAGTAGCTTGGGCTTCTCCTACTTAGGAAAAATGGCTTTTAATGAATTCCTAATTAAAATTCCCCTTGTTTAAGAAAAAATAAAAATTATTAGATTAAAAAGCATGAGTGAAGTACAAATGACCCTACAAAAAGAGTTTATTAACCCTTAAGGCAACACAGAAAAAAAGTTAAAATATCACCTCCCAACAGAGCTGTATAAACGAAGGGTAGAGGAGCAGTTCACCTCGGATTTGGCCATGAAAAGGGGGGGCCTGGGGCCACGTCCTGCTCCTTCTCACCCAGGTTATTATAACCTGTTCCCTCCACTGTCATGTTTCTCTCCAAAAACAAATGGTGTGCGTGGTGTATGTGAGACAATTCTACACGGTATACAGATGGACATTTAAAACAGGAGTCACTACTAATTCTAGTTTAATGTTTATTAGGAGTAAATACCAAAGCTGGGCATTTCGTGGCTACTATGTAGAGTGAAGCTAGGTAAAAAACGATTTGCCTAATGAGTAAATAATGCTCGCTAACACTCCCAAGACTAGTTCACTAAAAGTTTCTAATACCAGAGCAACACTTTCTTTAAAAACCTATTAAATGTCCAATTAAAAAAATGCTTTAAGTGAATCTTTAAATCAAACGTTACCATCACCATGCAGGTTAATGTTTAGCAATTTTATTTTGAATATTTTGAAGGAAGTAAATAAGAAAATTTGAAGCTAGTTTTCACTCCTTACACTTGATGTCTCAAGAGGAATCACAGGTGTGTAAACAGACGTCTCCCGTTCCTTCCCCTGAGGTGGCATTCCTGGGTACACAGCCATCCAGGCTGATGAGTTTCGGGGAGCCAGTCTGAAAGCAGAAAGAAACGCACTCACTAGAACTTCATGGTTTCCACACTGAGAACGTTAAATGATACAGGCTTCTTTCAATGTCTAGTTATTTTTAACAAGCAATTCACAACATCAAAAAAGTCTCCAACTTCACACCAATCCTATTCCATATCAGACTGTCCCGTTGTGGGGACACTGTGTTTGGTAAAAGTGACCAGGGCAGTAGCCTTCCAGGTCAAAATGAAGACCCATTCCCCTTGCCTGTTCTTTCAAGAATCAAAAATTGAGTATCATTGTTGAACTATACATTTAACAAAAAGTTTCCAGAGCACACATTAACCTAATTTGGGGCCTCCCCACACTTCTCTTTGGTTTGCCTGCTATGGATTCATCCTCTGAAAGGCTCATTAGCTGTGTCTTGTGCATTAGATGATCAGCAACACCTGGCTTAGAGGTTTAATTGTTTTCCTTACCTGGCCTTGAGGAGTTAATCTTTTTTAGAAGATTTAGTAAACCCTTGTCTGAGTTTCGCTCCAGAAGCAGGGTCCACTGCTAATCCTTTGCAGACATAAACAGATTTGTTATTACGTAAAAGCAAACAATAGCAAGAAGAAAAAAAAGGGGGGGGGGATGATTACGAAATCCTCACATTGGAGTCAAAGTCTCTATTCTGTTTTGTTTTGTTTTGTAGCTATAGAAAACTACTCAGTCTCCACCCTGGGCCAAATAATAAGGAAAACCAGGGACTGTCTCAGGAGCTGTCTCTTCCCTGCCCCTAGCCCTTCACTTACCCGTGGACGGGCCCTTTGGACCACACCCAGGCAGCCCACCATGTATACAAGCTGACTCTCAACACCTTGCTCCACTACTGCCTCGGCTTTCAAAATGTTTCACGTCTTCACAATTCTTTGCCTGCTGTCAGGCTAGAAAAGGTGTGATAAGCTGTATAGAAGCATGAGCTGCCATCCCTCCCAGGCGTTACTGACATACATAGCAATGGACTCATTCCACAAACAGGATTCTTTCCCTTTGTGTCCAGCAGTGCTTGTGAGGTATAGAGAGGCAGGAGTTTATGGATACAGGCACACCGCAGTCTGTTCTGGACCACATGGTATGGGGCAGGACACTCAGAGAAATCGTTTTTTGTAAAAAGGAATAAGCCCCCTCTGTCCTAGAGGTGTCCGTTCTAATCAGTGTTGTATAAAGGGGCGTAACCAAACAACCCAAGGAAACTGTGAACTAATCTATCGGTGGACACAGGAATAGAAAGAGCTTGCGTGTTCATTTCACCCAACGACCTACAAGTTTTATTTCTCACAAAGAATCAGCAACCGACCTTCCAAACTCGTTACCTTCACTCCACAATTAGGGAAGGAGGGGGTGGATGCTCGTGCAGTGAAGATGCTTAACTCGATCAAACCCCCTGGTCCCAGAAATAAAAGCAGAGCCCACCCAACACAGCTATAACATGCAATTCACTAAGTATATGCAGCTGCACAGCCCCAGACCCCAGAACACATTTGCACAGAGATTGCCGTCTCTGCATAAAGGTGCTGGAGAAGCAGGTGCTTGGAGGCACCGTCCCTGCAAACCAGCCACTCTTACAGCAAAACCCTTGAGAAAATAGCCACCAGTAGATATTTGCTGACTAAACTATACACTCATATACAAACATTAGAATCTTTGTGGGATTAAAGGAAGAGCCATACCTTTTTCTGAAGTAATTTCTTAATATATATAATTATATATATATATATTTATAATTATAAATATAAATTACTATATATTTAAAAAAAAAAATATATATATATATCACTATCTCCTTAATGTCTATATTTTTTTATCCAGTTTTCCCAAAGCAGACAAAGGTTTAGTTGGCTCTACCATTTCTTATTAAATCTCTTGTGCATATTGCTTCACCTCTCTGTGCTTGCCTCATCTAGAAACTAGGGATATGCATAATATGTTGACCTCCTTATATTATTGTGAAGCTTAATGATGATTAATAAATTAAGTGCTTAGAAGAGTGTACAATAAAGCGGGGAAGACTGTCCATGAAGAAGGGAGTTATTTACTACAGCAAAAAAAGTAGAAACAATCTACCTGCTCAACACTGAGACAATAGCTAAATAAGTTATACTGCATTCTTGTGATATGACACTGTTTTTAAGGAAACTCTTGCCATAGGGAAATATTCAAAATTCGTTAGTGAAAAAAAATCAGGGTGTGTACATGGACTATGATCTTAACTTTGATAAAAGGAAAACTGAAAAAAAGGAGGATTATAAGTAAAGAAAAAAATGGAAAAAAATATCAGTGTTCACAGTGGTGATGTCAGGGTCTGGAATTATGGAAAAATTTTTTTATATACTTTTTCTTCATGTTCCAATATTTGCTACACTAAGCATTAATTTCTGACATGATAATTTTTGAAAATGCTCCTTCTACAAGGAAATTTTTGCAGGCTAACTTGAAGTGGCTCCAGCAAGAAGTTCCTCAGCCATCGTAACTAATGTACACAGCACCCGAGGGGGGGGCCTCACAGAGCAATGATGGCCCCCCTTGCTCCGGGGCCTTCCTTTCTAACTTTAATTTCTGTTCACGCCCCAACTCTTCTCTACGCTTTGGCCAAATGGGCCATTTGTTTCCACAGTTCGTCCTCTGCATTCTGGTTTTCACATCTCTGTGCATGTCTTTTGCAACTTTTCTCCATTGGTCAAAACCTAGCTCATCCTGAAAGCTCATCTCAAATGCCTCCACCTCCACGGAGTTTCCACTTTTTCAGACTGTCCCCAACGCCATAAAGCCTCCTGGGCAAAGTCGATCTCTTTCTTGTAATCCCTAGGACTTTTATATCCCACTGTTAAATATTGACGGCTCTCCCCTAGACTTTTAAGAACCCATGGGCAGAAAAAACAAGCACAGCAGCTGTGTACAAGTATCAACTCCATGTGACATCACATGCTCTCTTGTATCAGATTTTCCTGCACATGCATATCTTCTCATAAGACTCTGGGATGGATAAGGATTGTGACTTGCACACATATATCTCCCCTGACTGTGAATTTAGAACAAAATATTATACATGGGAGACACTCAATGCATATTTTACTCAAGAGAGTTGAAGAACAAAAGCCACAGTTTTGGGGGGTTAACTACCAGCTAGGTGAAAGACAATAAATAATAGGATTTAGTGTGGAAGGCAAGTGACACTAAGTGACCTAAACTACCAATTGTTGATCTAGATAGAGCAAAGCTGATAGACAATTTAAAAAAAAACAAAAACAAAAACAAAAAAAACCCAACACCTTTATATTACAAACATTTTAATACTGACCAGAACAAAAACAACGGATAAATGCAAATCTGATTCACACACCGGCCTGTTTGCATTAATAAAAGGCAGTCAATGAAATTGAATAGATGTACGAGTTGTCAGAGGGACAGAAGATTGGGGGGCGGGGGGTTATCACTTTGTAAGGGTGAAATGTATAACTATTACATTGTTTTGTACTCCTGAAACAAATTAAAAAAAAAAAAGGCACTCAGTGCTTTTCTCTGAACCTTACACATTTCTGAGAATTCACTCCCCTGCCCCCCGCCGCCCCAATATACTTTTGCTTCCTTCCCACAATGGCTCTGAATGAAATGTGACTAATTTAAAGGTACACTAATCCTGGTGGGTTTTGTTTTAAATGTAGTAAGCAGGGCCACAAGCAAGTATGAGAAATTAAACTGAAAATGCATCTTAAGCCTCAAATCAAAAAGGTATTTCTCTTTAGTCTTAACACTAATTAACATGACAATTCTATTTATATGCCAGTGACTTAAGTGAGAAATTACAGAATCAAGATACCTACTTTCTCCCATCATTTCATTCAAAAAATATTTACCAAGCACCTCATATGTGCCATGGACAATTCTGACAGGTAGGGATATAGCAGTGCAATAAAAAACAAAGTAGACAGATCCCCAGCTTTTTAAAACTTACGTTCAAGGCCAGCCAAGTGGTGCGTTGGTTAAGAGCTGGCTTGGGACGCCAGCTCTGAGCAGCAGGGCCCCAGTTCTGATCCCACATGAGGGCCAGTGATGCTGCTCTCTCTACAGCTAAAATGGTGAGCAGCAGCTCGACCTGGAGCGGGGCTGTCGTGAGTTGCTGGCAATGGCGTAGGCTGCAGTGGGCTGCCATAAGTTACTGTGAGCTGCTAGCGGCTGGCAGCCAGTGTGAGCTACCAAGAGCCGCCATGAGCGGCAGTCCAGAGGCCGGCGACCGATCTGCCTCGCCCGGGAAGAGCGCAATGATAATACCAACATGGGCCAGTGAAGCAACGTCCTCCACAACTAGACTGAAGAACAAAAGGACAGCAACTTGCCTGTTCCCCTTCCCCCAATTCCCCAGCACTGTTCTCCTCCCCCAATTCCCCAATAAAATCTTAAAAAAACCCTTACATTCATTTTGGGGGGTTGGGTGGGAAACAAATATACAGTAAATACTGGGGGTGCCAAAAAATGTATACAAGTGGACACTTTGGTCAACGTTACTCAAGCAGTAGTTTGCCGTAATCAGAAGTGTCTGGACGCTGATGGTAACCACTTTGAGCACCTCTTGTAATTGCAGAAGTCAAACGTGACTTGTATTCATCTTTTATTATCGGTATATATTGAGTAATACAATTTTAATACAATTTTCCTTTCTTAAAACATGTATGCATATTTTGGCACCCTCTGTATTAGATGGCAATAAATGCTATTGAAAAAAAGACTACGGTGGGAATTATGGAGGACTTAATTTTAAATACAGAAGTTGAGGGGGTCCCACTGGGAAGATGACAGCCAGCAAAGAGCTGGAGGGAGTGAAGGAGTGAGCAGTGCAGGTTCTTAGGGGAGTGTTTTGGTTTTCACAAGAGGGAGCAGCCAGTGCAAAGGCCCTGAACCAGGGGTGCGCAGGCCCATTATGTTCAAGGGACAAGACAGAAGCCGCGGGAGCTGGAGCTGGATTGAGAGGAAACAGTGGGAGGCGAGCTCAGGTGCTGGTATATGAAGACCCCAGGGTGGGCCATCTTAAGTCCTTGACTTTTCACTTAGCAACATCACAGTGGATGTAAACCGCCATTCACTAGTCACAAGCAAATACAATGCCGTTTGCTTAGATCTACTGGCCTACTCATCTATTTTCTAATGTATCAGAATGGCGTCTTTACAATGTTTTGATTCCAGCACTGAGACACAGGCTTCTGAGTCCTCACTTAGGACCTTTCCACTTATGCCTTGCTGCTGCTTTAAAGAAATCATTTACTTCAAGGAAGGAAACTCTTATTTTCAACACCCCACCTGATGTGCTGGCCTCTCCCATTCCCAAACTCTTTCCAAGTTCACTAGACCAGAGAACGAAGGTCCTCGGCCCCATTGTTATCCTCGGATTGGAGCTGCACATTGTCAGAATTATCTAATCCTGATGAATTCAGAAATATCCCCTCTTGGCAAACAAGCTTTTACCTCCAACTCAAAGGAGTGCTGCTCACTAGAAGGGATGCATTATAATATATTCTTGGAAAAAAACAAGGAAAAAAACCATAGTATAAAGAAATTGCCTTTTCTGAAGGATACTAATCGTTATACTTTGGAAAAAACTTGTTAGTGAAAGTTTTACCAAATGAATATTATATATAATTTGAATTATTTTTGTGTGTGTGAAAACTAAAACCTACCTCTCATTGTTAAGTTTACACAGATCAGGAGAAAACTAATGACGTGGCTATGGGGAATTTTTAAAATATCAATTCACTTTTAGCCCCTGACAAGCAACACACGAAGAATTTAAGAACTGACAATAAACTTCCGTGTGTTGTTACTTTATGGATTGGCTGTTCCTACTCTGGTTCTGATAATATTTTCCAAATAAGACTCCTGGTCAGAGGTGCCATGTGGTCGTGAATTAGTTCATGTTGCCTCCATACTGCACACTGATCAGAGAAGAGAATGCCACATTCATTAATGCAGCTCAGTGAGGAGGTATTTAATCCAGCTCTGCTACTGCATTTACCAGTTGAGTGCTTTGAACAAATAACCTATCTTCTCTGAGCCTCAGTTTCCCTTTATGCAAATTAAAACACTTGGAGGATTATTGTGAGGATTAAATGAAATGGGTCTAAAACATAGTAAGTACTGTAATGGTTGTGACTTTCTGAAACTGAAGAAATTACTTAGTTCTAGAAAGGTAACTCTCCCTTTTCTTGTTTCTTTTTTCTTATTTTTTCCAGCCTATTGCAATATAATGAAAGGTAACATTGTATAAGGTGTACAATATGATGATTTGACACACAGATGTATTTTGAAATGATTACCACAATAAAATAGTTAATACCCATCACCTCCCATATTTACCTTTTACGTGTGCGGTGGTGAGAACATTTAAGATTTGCTCTCTTAGCAACTTTCAAGTATGTAATACAGTTTTGTTAACGATAGTCATCATGCTGTACATTACATGCCTAGAACTTATTCATCTTATAATTGGAAATTTGTATCCATTACACATCTCCGCATTTATCCCACCACACCCCTACTCCTGGAAACCACCTGGGGTAACACATTCTCTGCTTTTATGAATTTGACTTTTTTAGATTCCACATATAAGTGAGATCATACAATATTTGTCTTTCTCTGTCTTATCTCACTTAGCATAAGTGTCCATCCATGTTGTCACAGATGACAGGATTTCCTTCTTTTTTATGCCTGAATAGTATTCCATTGTGTATATTTATCCATTCATTCATCAATGGACACTTAGGTTGTTTCCATATCTTGGCTATTTGAAAAATGCTATAATCATCATGGGAGTGCAGATATCTCTCTGACATAGTGAAATAACTTTCTTCCTTTATTTTTAACACATCTGACACACTGTTATATCCCCGTCTTTATCTCTTTTCAATTTTTTTAGATCAGAAAATGATGGTTCTAGACCCTGCTGCTGTAATAGGATATGACATTGTATATCATCAGAGATATCTAGTCCTGATGAATTAGGAAATATTCCCTTTTGGCAAATAAGCTCTAACCTCAAACAAACCACATATCTTTATATCCAAAAGCAACAATAGGTGCCATAGCTTTTGCCAACTGCCGACCAATCCCAGAGCCAACAGTGGTTGCCTCCAACCCAGTCATTTGATAGCTGAGGTGCTCATTTGGACTCACCTGGCCTGGTTGAGGCCACACTTGTGGCCTCCAGGGCCCTGTTCTGTAGGAGCGCGCCCACGGCACTGGTCACGGTCGGTTCCTTTTTTGGACTCATCTGTGCCCTGCCCTACAGAGAGAGGGGGGGAGTTCTGTAACCTCAGGTAGCACACGGGAGGGAAGCTGTTCCCACTTAACCGGCAGCCACTGGAGTGGTCTCCGGCAACCTGCTGCACCCAGTTAACCTGGTTCTCGTCCTCCCTGTCTGGGGTTTGGAGCTGACACTCCATAATCAAGCCTTCGTGGGAATTATGAGACGTTCATCCTGTAAAATTAGTTATATGGAGACATAAGAAATCACTTAATGTCAATAAGGATAGTTATGGAACATTTTAGTTTTTCATTACACTTGAAGATGATTTTGTTTTTAAATACATGAACAGAGAAGAAAAACAGACATTGGCAGGCAGCAAATGTTTTAAACATGGAATTCCAACATCCCCACACCACACCCCTCCCGACTGAGCAGCAGCAGCAGAACAGTTACAGGAACGTGGAACACGGACCAAAAGATTCCTCGGGGGCTCCTTTTTACCTTGCTGCCCTGATCTCACCAACATCTCCGTGGGAACTCCCTCAAGATAACCTGTTACCCCAACTGAGACTTCTCCCTCGGGGAAGGGGAGCCGTGAGATTTATAGCAAACCGCTCATCCTCATCCAAACAGAGAAAGCTATTTTCCGAGGCCCATATTGGTCTCTTTTGGTTAAGGGTATAACACTTTTTAAAAGTTGATTACGTTTAAAATAGGAACACATGTCAGCTGTGCTGTTAACAGCCCTTCCGAACTGCAACAGCCCCTCCCTTTTTGCTCCATTTCTGAATAAGCTTCACTGCGAGGCAGGGCCCCCGTGAAGCTGGCACTGGAGAAGCAAGCTCGGCCCTTCAGATACACTCGACAGTGAGTTTACTCAGAAAGCAAGCAATTCAGAGAGCAAGCAATTTTTCTTCTGTGTTCCCAATCACCACTTTGTCCTGGAAAACAAGGAGAGGAACAGGGCCAAATCCCTGGTTACACTCAGGACAGCCAGCTGGCCTCCTTCAGGGATAAAAAGCACTTCCGCTGCTGCTTCCCAGTACTCCCTTTGGCCCCACACTAAATCCCCACTAACTTCGAGGGCTGGTCAGAAGAATCATTCGAAGAAATGTACCGCACCCTTGACTGCTTTAGAAAGTGTACGGAGAGTTATGCTTGGAAAACCTTTCCAAAATGAAGTTGAATTCAAGCCCAAAGCAGTCGTATCCCCTCAAAATTGTGGTGTCTGCCCCACCCACAGGAAAGGACTTACCCAAGAGGGGGAAAAGGGTGGGGCCACGGGGAGAGAGGAAAGGTGGAGGGACCCCTGTGGGAAGGCACCTGACTTATATTATCTATCGTCCTCCCAACAAGTTGGCAAGGTACGCGTTCAAGTGTCTCAAAGAATTTAAGTGACTTGTCCAAGTTTACCTCCAGATAGTAAATTATAGAGCTGAAAGTCAAACCCTGACTACTGATTGCAGAATCCAGGCTCTTTCTACATGGCACTGCTTCCCATACTATTTCAGGGGCAAAGATTGAATCTCTACAACTATATTTATCATAACCACCCTGCCCGCTCCACCAACACACCTCCCTCCTCCCTTCTGTGCGCCTTTATCTAGATGCATAGTATTATTATCTGCCTAGGCTCTGGAGATAAAAACCTTCTTGTCAACTCTGATCCTTTTTTTTTTACCCTATATCCAATCCTCTTTTCAGTCCCATCAATTATTTCTTAAATTCTCCTGTCACCCCCCCCCCATCAGTCCTCTTACTCCAGAATCCCTCATTCTTTCCCCGTTGCCATGGCTCCCAGCTGTTCTCCCGCCAATCCATCTTGAACACTAAATGCAAGGGTGATCTTGCTCAAAACAAAACAAAACACACAATTCCATGTCATTTCAGTCTACACTGTCCCACCAGCCTACACTGCCCATAGAATGACATGTGAAGCTAATAATAGTCGATTGGACACAATGGCCAAAAAAGTCATGGGGCAGAGGAGGGGACGCAGAAGGGTAGTAGGAAGGAGAGGGGACACGGAAAGCTGGAAAGGACTTCTGCTGGGCTCCCGGGATTTGACGCTTCCTGCTTCCAGGCCTGCAGGCTGGCTGGCCTCAGAGTTGAGGGCCGCTCTCTCCCCTGACTTGCCCCTCTCCGAACCAGCGTGAGTGAAAGCCCGTGTAGATCTGACTATCCTTGCTTATCCTCTCTCGTCCGTCTCCCACAGACACTGCGTGCTTTAGCCTTATCTGCTGGATTCTTCAGGCCACACGCTGGCTGTTTTGTGCATAACGTCCTTCTCAGCTCCAGCTCTAGGCTGGTGAACCCATCTGATACTTAAGGGGAAACTGTCTGCTCCTGTTTGAAGCCACCTGTGAATCCCTGGGGCGTCTTCCCCCACTGTGCTCCTATGTATTAATATGACACCTACTACGCCTTCACACTGCGTTGTTTCCAAGGCCTCGCCCTCCTCTGAGTTACAAACTCTTGATCAGCCAGCACGGAGTACAGTGTCTGCTACAGAGTAACTTTTCAATAACTGTCTAATATATATGGAGACAGAGCTCAGAAGCCATAGTCCCTGGGGTCTGCTTTTAGTGGAGAAGGTTTCCACCCATATTAGATACTGGATTTTATGGAAATCTTTCTCAACATGTTTCATACCCTTAAGTATTCAGACCAACTTAATCTTTTCTTGGTGTCTGAGCCATGTTTATAAAACTAACAGTTTTTATGCGATACTGGAACTTATGTCCCTGGGCCCTTTGATGTTTATGGAGCTGTTTGCTGGCTCTGGTCCTGTCTGTTTTTATAAATCTTTGTCTTCCTGGTCAAGTTGACAGTTTACTTATTTGGACTTATTTATAACAGTTGCTTCCATTTGTCCACTTTAACTTGCTGACTCAGTGACTTTAAATAAAAGGCTGAAGACTCTTTTTTATAGACCACACCAAGTGGCCTGTTGGAGTGACCACTTCCCCCACTCAAGCCGGCTTCACTTCAGGTTCACAGTTCTTTTCTGTGTGGTTAAGGCTGATAGCCACGGTTGGATAGAGTTTTATCATAATACTACAGAAACACTGTTTATGTATTCAAGTCTTCATCCTAAGAAGATGGCAAACGCTTTTTAGAAATATTTTTTCTACAACATCCAAAGGTGTTGTAAGTTGGAAACTCAAAAGGAGCCAGCTCCCGTGAGGATGAGCGACAGTGGCCAGCTATCACCATCCTTATATTTCTTAGGATGGGTAGATTTAGGTTTCCCATCAAACTCTACCTGCTTGTCCTGGGTATGTAAGGGCACAAGATCCAACACCTGGGGAGAGATATTTACCTGCCCTCTGGATGCCAATTTGGCTGCTGTCTGGGCTGGACTGAAGACTCGACGAGAAGATTGATCCTTGCAGAAATTAATATGTCGATTGGCTGCATTTTCATTAAACCTCCTCATACAATATGGGCATTGAATATAATCTGAAAGTAAAGATAATAACAAAAGGCAATTAGCATTTTAAAAACAACTCTGAAATGAAATAAACTGGATATGAACTCTGCTTCAACATGGAAGAGCAAAGTCCCACGCTCTGGTGGGAGACAGCCTATTCCAGAGAAGAAGGCACGCAAGAGCTCAAATAAAGGACATAGCAGGGACAGATGGTTCTACCTCTGTGCTTATTTCAATTAAAAGTGTGCCCTTCAAATGTTTCCATGATATGTTTTTTAGAAAATTAATTATACTTAGGAACTTCCCAATCAAATGAATTTTTTAGTGAATCCTTATGTACAAAAGGAGTGCTGGAATCACAGAATGTTAGCATTGATGACATGCGTAAGGGCAGAGAAGATTCCAAAGCCCAGGCTGTGGTACTGGGGTGGGACAGAAAGTCATACAGGAGTTAAGGGGGTTCAGAGGGAGAGAAGATGCTTCAAAATGCGGGTTTGGGGGATGGGATTTGAAGCCCATGTTCCTAGCAGAAAGGCATTATGTTAGCAGTGCTAGATTTTTTTTCACTGAACTCTGAAGTGAGGAGGAAAGTCATACATTCAGGAAAAGAGGTAGCAAAAGAAAAAAAATGGTGGGGATTTGGAAAAGACAAAAGGGAAAAGTAGGGGTGGTCAGAAAGCGGCTCTAGAAACAGCTCCCGCTTAAAGCATTCAAACGTCCTAGGCAGCTCTGTGGGCACCAGGTCCTCTGTTGTTCTGTGGAATACCCAGTCATCTCAGTTTGGCTCTGGTTTGCAATTACTAGATGGTGAGAGAAATGTGAAATGAGAAAGGTCCCAGGTCTTTTTAGAATGTGGGGATGCCAGGTTGGAGCCTACCCCTCTAAAGTAAGCAGAGGCTTGGGTGCTGTTTTGTCTTAGGCACCTTTCTTTAAGGGATGATAAAGTGTATATGAGCCACATAAGACAACCACTTTCCACCCAGGAAGGATCTGAGGCAGCACCGACCTTAAACTCTGTACGACGTTTGGGTTAGTGTATAGTCAAAATTCCTACATGTCGGGATGGATATTTAAGGCAGTGATTTCTTCAAAGTTAAGAGTCTTTGAAGGCATCTTTTTAGGCAGTTGGGGGAACTTCCTATTTTTTTGAAAATAATCATTTCCTAAAAGGAATACTCATTAAATGTAAGAATTGGAAGAAACTGGAATATAATAAAAGATTAGCACGTAACCAAATCTTGTATTTCACACTCTGGAAGGCCATACGTAATCATTAATTCAATACATATTGAACACCTGTGATGTGCCAGGCACTGGTTTATACCTGAGGATGCAATGTCTCTGTAATCAAGGACTACGAGGCATTCTAATACAGAAACGTTTTCCCACAGTGATAAATTCCTTGAAAAAAATAAAATAGGACAGCATTGGGCAACGATGAAGGCTCTGCAACCTGCGGGACGGGTTTGGAGCCCCAGCTCTGCACTTGCTGTGTGTGTGAACTTGGGCCAGTTACTCAACCTCTTTAAGTTTCAATTGCCCTAGTGCCTGCGTATCACCTGTCTCATCGGGTTGTTGTGAAAGTGAACTAAAATCACCCACACTTGGGTTTGGCACAGTGGGAGGCAGGACATACTAGTGCTATAAGGAAACAGGTCCAGCAAGCTTGTGTTTGCAACTGTCAAACAAGAGTGAAACTGCTTAGAAAAAGTATACTAGGAAGCGGCACTACCATGCAGACCTCACGATGGTGTAGGAAACCATCTAGGACTCGGCTCTTGGCTTGGTGGGTATTTCTTCAGTTCTATCAGCTGCAAGGTCAAGGCTTATGTCAGAAATGCTGCTGCCATGGACCCGGCTTCGTTCAGGCAAAGACACTAATTATGGCAATGACTGTCCTCCTTCCTTACTCTCACTCATTCATTCATTCATTGTGCCCATCTGTGCGTTTGGCACTATATGACGCCATGAAGACAACAAAATTGAAATGTATGTCCCCGCCAACAAAAGCCTCAGAGACGGCTAGGCAAAGGAGCAATGACCATTCCGAGAGGTAAACTGTGAAAGGAGGAGGCACCAGGCCCTCCAAGAGCCTATGCGACGGACATGAAGCCCTGACTTAAGGGGGCAGCAGAAGGGTACTTCAAACACCCTGAGAAACAACAAAGTATTTTTCTTTTTTTAAAATAAGAGTTTAATTCTTTTTTTAAAAGATTTTATTGGGGAATTGGGGGAAGGGGAACAGACAAGCTCCTGTCCTTTTGTTCTTCAGTCTAGTTGTGGAGGACGTTGCTTCACTGGCCCAAGTTGGCACCACTGGCTGCTGGCTACACACGGTAGCCCATGACACAGCCTACGCCGTCGCCGGCGACTCATGGCAGCCCAGTTCCAGGTCGAGCTGTTGTTCAGAATCTTAGTTGTGGAGGGCAGTGTCACTGGCCCTCATATGTGGGATCCGAACCGGGGCCCTCCGGCATCCCAAGCCAGTTCTTAACCAACGTGCCACTCGGCCGGCCCTATATGCTTTTAATAATACCTTGGCAACAAGTTTCATAAAACAAAAACATCTTTTATGGGAAATACTTCATTTTAATAGCAGAAGCTACAGGGTTGAATGGCTACCTTATGGCTCTTTAGTTGAATAAGTAAAACCATGTGAGATGTCCTGCGATACGGATTTCTGTCATTTTCATGTTGGATTTAAAATGTGGGGATTATTGTTTCTTTAAATAAATGCCTTTGTAAGGCCTTATCAAACATACGATTTATTTCTCTGCCGTTTACATTTTATGCTAAAATATAGCTTTATAATTAAGTGCTTTCTTATGCCTTTATTACCATTTTATGCACCAAGCAAAATGGTCATATACAACAGCACATTTTCATTACTATTGAATTATTTTGATTGTTCAGGGATTTCATATTAGCCCATATATTGTTAGGCTTAGATACTAAAAAAATGCATTGAGACACAACTAGAGTCATATATAATATCGCCTTGTATATGCGCAAGTTTGCAATAATTTTCTTTTTTTTCCCAGCATAATTCCCTATTTCATGACTCAGTTTCTGTGACATGTATATATTTGTTCTAATTCTTAATGAGTTAAGTAAGTCTGCCAATCATTCAACTTTCAGAACATTGCGATAGTTAAATGGGGAAAGTGATATAATATTTATAATTGGGATTTTCTGTGAGGCCTGGGACATTTGGTCACCATTTCCTAGGGCTCCATAGACATGGGTCCTCAACAAAATGCTTGCATTTTAAAATGATGCTTGTTTTTCTATTTTAAATTTTTTATGAGATCTGACATCTTCCCCATAGTCCTCATAAGAATCCATTTGTC